TACCAGTCAAATAGATTCCCTTGCGTTCATTCAAGATATTTTAAGACCCGGTTAACCTCCGTCAAACTAATAAGCCACGCCCCCGTTAAACTAATTCAAACTGATGTTAATTCCTTTTAAACTTTAAAGTGTCCGCCTCCTTGTAATGTAAATCACTCAAGCAGAAAAGATACCCCGATAGATATATCTATCGTCTGTCCATTCCAAACGTTATTGAATTTCGTTAGATAATATATCTCCATCAAATATTTATAGAATAACTAATCGAAGAATTCAAATAGAGAAAAATATTCAACGAGTGACCGAACAACACATTAATTCACGAATGCGCGTAGCGCATGAGTTAATTATCAGTGTTGTTCGGTCACGAGTTGAATATTTTTCGATATTTGAATTCTTTGATTAGTTATTCTTTTTATTACATTGGCAAATGGCTTTTTTTAATGAAATTAATGTAGAAAATGTAAGGAACTATATCTTTTTTCTACGCATTCACAATTTGTTTTGATCCGACGTTATCGACGTCTTGACAACGCCTATTGTTGTATGACGTCAGAGAGTGAAATAACCACGTTTATTCACATGTGAAATTATCGGTTTTTATTTGACTGGGAAATCAATGTAATTCATTGCTACCAATGTAATAATCCCCGTTAAAAATACACATCAATAAATTAAGTAAATTATAGTTGTTGATGCAAGACTTCTTGTTGCAAAAAAGAAAATTTGTTGAATATAATTTAAATATCTAAATAATATAATTTAAATTGTCCACATGCAGTATAAGTATATTATGAGTAACTTATAATTGAATATTTTCAGTATTTTCCGAACGAGTCAGTTTAATGTTTAACTTTTCATTTCGGTCGAACAGTCAACGTCACTAACGTGACTTATGAATCAAATGTTAGACTTGATTTTTATGCGATTTGAATATTCTTGATAATTGCCACTGGACGTTAACGGTTACACTAACATCGATAAATTCAAATGAAGCGCTTTACCAAAACAGGATCTCCCATGTCATTGCAATGAACTAGTTTTTAAAATAATCAGTTTCGAACATTTAAAATTTCATATCAAAAGATGCCTTTTATTTTTATTTTTATTTATTTATAAAAAAACTGTATAGCTTTAATACAAGTATTCATGTTACCAAATACACTGATGTTGAACTGATCATCGTAATTGCAGTTACGACGATCCCAACATGGCGGATCCAAAAACAAGTAAAATAGTCTTCTTCTAATTTCTCTGTGTACACGCGTTGTTTTCAAGAATTACTCAGCCGCTAGGTTGATATTTACGGTATTGTTGTGTGTGTATGTACTCTCAGTATCATATGTGGCCTTGTTACCGAAATAATAGCCATCGAAATTTTATGGAAGATCATCGTAACTCCCTGAATTTTATTTGATATGATAATCGTAACTTGATAATTAGATAGTCGTAACTTGGACATGATAATAGTAACTTATCAGTGATAATCGTAACTTATCAGTGATAATCGTACCTTTCTTTATATGATGATGGGGATGGCGACTATATATAAAGCGTGTTTGAATGTTTGATAATATGACTAGAATAAGTGAATATTTACTAGTTTACGTTTTGCTTTGTAGATATATTCTTTATATTTTACAAGTTATAATTTACGGTAAATGTTCATCATGATGACAAGGAGAGGCAAACTTTTTCATGTTCACACATTGTTAATGGAAACCTATAATATTTAAATTACGTTCGTTTTCGAGTAAAGATTTGATTTAAGTCACGGTATCTTATTCTCCTTTAAACTATTAATCCCGTTCCCTTTTGTACAAGGTTCACTTAAATGAAAATTGCAAGCTTATATATATATATATAAAAATAGATGTGGTATGATTGCCAATGAGACAACTCTCAAAAAGATACCAAATGACACAGAAATTAACAACTATGTCACCTTACGGCCATCAACAATGAGCAAAGCCCAAACCACATAGTCAGCTATAAAAGGCCCCAAAATGACAAATGTAAAACAATTCAAGCGAGAAAACTAACCGCCTAATTTATACAAAAACATGAACGAAAAACAAAAATGTAACACATCAACAAACGACAACCACTAAATTATAGTCTCCTGACTATGGACAGGCACATACATACAGAATGTGGCGGGGTTAAACATGTTAACGGGCTCCCAACCCTCACACTAACCTGGGACAGTGGTGTAACAGTACAACATAAGAACATACTATAAATATCAGTTGAAAAAGGCTTAGCTCATCAGATGGATATAAATAGAAATACATCTAACAAAAACACAGAGTGGACGTGGCCGGATACTTGTATACCCCAACAACAAAAAGACACTAAGTACAGATCTGAGAGTACTCGCAATTACTGACAGCTAGTCCAAAGCCACAAACAACTTATAAAAAAAATCATGCATCTAAGACTACCTTATTTGTTGTTGTTACGCGTTTGTTGTCTTTTAATAATCTTGTTTATGCCCCTGCCATAGCGGAGGGGGCTGTAAGTTTTACAATTGTCCGTCTGTACGTCCGTTCGTCCGTTAGTACGTCACAAAGTTGGTTTCCGTTCACTAACTTTAGTTTGCCTCAACCAAATGTTATAAAACTTATACACAATGCTTATTACCATATAATTCAGATCAAGTTCGAAACTGGGTGGCATCACTTTATCCGTTCTTTAGTTATGCCCCTTCAGTAACATAAAAATTGCTGAATTTTCGTTTCAGTTATCTAACTTAAGTTTTCCTCAATAAAGTGTTATGAAACTTACACACAATGCCTATTTCCACAAAATACAGATCAAGTTTGAATTTTGGTGGTGTCCCTTTTACCGTTCTAGAGTTATGTCCCTATGGATAAATTGCTGTTTATTTTATTTCTGTTCTCTAACTTTAGTTTGCTTTAACCAAATGTTATAAAACTTGTACACAATGCTTGTTGCCATATAACACAGATCGAGTTTGTTTTTGGAGGCATCACTTATACCGTTCTAGAGTAATGCCCTATACAAATGGAAAAATTGCTGAATTAGATATAAGAAGATGTGGCATGAGTGCCAATGAGACAACTCTCCATCCAAGTCAAAATTTATAAAAGTAAACCATTATAGGTCAAAGTACGGTCTTCAACACGGAGCCTTGGCTCAAACCGAACAGCAAGCTATAAAGACCCCAAAAATTACTTGTGTAAAACCATTCACCCTGCTTATTACCACATAATTCAGATTAAGTTCGAAACTGAGAGGCATCGCTTTTACCGTTCTTTAGTTATGCCCCTTCGGTAACATAAAAATTGCTGAATTGTTCGTTTTCATTCTCTAACTTTAGTTTGCCTTAACCGAATGTTATGAAACTTATACACAATGCTTATTACCACATATCACAAATAAATTTGGAACTTTGGTGGGGTCATTTTTACTGTTCTAGAGTAATGTTCCTTTACAAATGAAATAAATGCTGAATTTTTCGTTTCAATTTTCTAACTTTAGTTTGCTGTGACCAAATGCAATGAAACCTAAGAGTTATGCCCCTTTACAACTGGAAAAAATTCTGAATTTTTTGTTTCCGTTCTCTTACTCAAGTTTGCCTCAATCAAATGTTGTGAAACAAAATGCTTATTACCACAAAACTCAAATCAGAAACAAATTTGGGCAGTATCACTTTTACTGTTCTCGACTTATGTTCCTTTATAACGTTTTATGCAAGCAGAGGCATCCTCGATCTGTGTCCCATGGATACATTCCCCATTTATTATTAAATATTCCGTTAGCAGAGGGTATTGATAAAATCAGTTACTATGATCATAGACATATTTTATACAGTTACGATTATCTTTCAAGTTATTTGTTCACAAGTTAAGATTATCTTCTTTTGGAGTTACGATGATCTTCCGTAAATTCTCTATGGATATTAATTCGGTAACAAGGCCAAATACATGTATGATACTAAGAACACACACACACACCAATACCGTAAATATCAACCTAGCGGCTGAGTAATTCTTGAAAACAACGCGTGTACACAGAGAAATTAGAAGAAGACTATTTTACTTGTTTTTGGCTCCGCCATGTTGGGATCGTCGTAACTGCAATTACGATGATCAGTTTAACACCAGTGAAATACAAACTAATTATTTCGCTAGAATATCTTAAACAGTAAAGCCAAATCATATCGTTTTAATTTATTCATCTAGACATTCCCATGTCAACGCGCAACAGTTAAGATTAAACCGTATCCTAAGTGAGATCTCGCGAGAATCACGAGGTGATTCAATCAGTCTTAGCTGAACAGCCGACGAGTACGGATCCTTTTTGGACCAGCGGCTTTCTTCGAATTCGTTTGTGTTTGGACAAAGCCTGTTTAGGTAATTATTTATTTTATTTTATTTGGTTGTGCAATAGATAGTTTTAAGGCTATAATTGCAGTTTTTGGTCGGATAGCTTGGCGTGTCATTTTGGCACGAAGCTTTGTAAATTTTGTTCAGTGGTTCTTTGAACACGTGTTGTGTTTTAACGTTTTTAATTTGATTTGATTTTATTTGGTTGTGCAATAGATAGTTTTAAGGCTATAATTGCAGGTTTTGGGATAGCTTGGTGTGTCATTTTGGCTCGAAGCCTTGTTATTTTTATAAGTTTTGTTGGTTTAATCTCGGCGTGCTTTGTACACGTTTTTTTTTACCTTTTTAAAAAAAAAAATTTGGTATTATTTCTTTGGTTTATGCAATGCATTGGATAATTTAAAGACTATATTGCAGGCTTTGGATAGCTTAGCAGATTTTGTTAAATCGTGAGTTTCGGCGTGTTTTTGAAGATCTTTGAACACGCGGTATTATCAATTTATCGACCGCTTTTCTCTTTGTACCTTTAAACTTTGTAGTAATTTGTAAACATAGCATATCTAGGTTAAATTGTATGCACTTGCGATTTTTTAAATGGCCGGCTCACCGGGCGACTCTTGGTCTTTTTGTTTACAGTTAGATCTATACTGTTTATGTTTGGTTAAAATATTTCTACATGTCAGTATGAACATTTTATTTGAAATTTGTAAGATCTATGTTTCTCCTTTTACACCAGCAATAGTATTTCCGATGTGTCATTAGATTTTTTAAGGTAACTGAAAAGTTGATAGTATAAATATTTTGTTTATTTCAGGAGGATGGACCAGGCACAGGTCTTGAAATCCAGGTATTCCCTGGTAGGGAAATCTTTAATAGCTATTATTCTAAAGGTCGAGGCGCACCAGACCCTGATACTAGATGAGAGTTTTAACAAATTAAAGAAGGACCACTCTCTCCTTGACTATTCGTTTGAGGAATTGGAGACTGAATTTAACGGACTTACGGGAGAGGTCATGAGCGATGTTTTGGCGGTAAGAATATTTAATTTGAAATTTGCTGTAAACTCCCCTTTTTTACTTTAAATTTGTATTAATGTCACATATGTGAATTTTGGATGACTGTGCATATGACGTGAGCTATCTGATATTTATTTTACAGGAATTATCATTTTTTAAATATCGCCTTTCTTTTCACCTGTTGGGCTGTAGTCAAGGCTAGGTCTTCGGTTGGTACCCTAGTCCATCTGACCGTCACCTTTTGGTTAAGGTCCTTATTTTAGGTGCTACTTGTAGTAGAGTAATGATTTTGAGCAGTAGATATGTCTTGGTCTGGTTTAAGGTGATCAACCTATTTTATGTTATTTTGACCTATATTTTACGCCTGAATGACTTTGGTCACAGGAATTTCTAGTTTTGGTTTATATAGAAATAAGAAGGGATATGGTGAAGTGCAACAAATACATCAAATTACATCAACAAATAAATATGTTTTCCTCATATCCAGAGGGCGAGTACTGTACGCTGGAAAAAAAAAAAAAAAAAAAAAAATGTAAAGTATAGTCCATGATAGAGAGCAGTTTTAATAAGTCTTGTTATTACATGTATTTAATTTGTATGCTAATTTATGACGAATTTTAACGGAAAAACACAATTTTCAACCTTTATTTTACTGTATTTTGTAGTTGTGTGGCAAGGAACCTTTGATAGAGAATGCTCGCTGCCTTGTGCATTTTACAATTACGCAGGCTAATCTTGTCGAGGCCCAAAGGGGCAAGACTCTGGCACACAAGGCTGTGCCCGAGCCTAGCGCTAGTACCAGTAGTGGAGCTGTGGGTGGGAATATACCAGTTCCAGATCCCAGCACGACTCCAGATTTCGTGCCTTTAGGTGAGATATTGAGTTGTTTCAGTAAAATAATAAAAATATATAAGGTTATGGGGAATGTGTCAAAGAGACAAAGTTTTCTATTTTGAGAAAAAAAAATAGCTCCCCTAAGAGTCCTGTAAAATCTTCACACTCGGGGTTGATTGTGCCCAGAAAAGTTATGTATGTTTTGCTCCAGTGATTTAGATGTCTTTCTGGTACTTAGTATTATATATCCGTCCGCCTGTTATACTAGTAATCTGTTCCTTCTTTTGTTTGCTTACTCCTTAGCTATAGATAGTGTATTCTGTATGTATTTAGTCTGTAGTGGGATACTCTGATATGATTGTAAATTTTTAGGGCCCCGAATGGAGGAAACGGGAGCCCTATAGTTCTCACTTTGTCCGTCCGTCCCTCTACAATGTAAAACTTAAAACTATTAAGATACAGAACTGAAATTTTACACACTTGTTTAGCAACATATGTAAATGTGAATACTAAAATTTGTTTTGATCAGTTGTATATTTTGGGTAAATTTAGGTTTGTTTTTTTTTGTTTAATCATTTTTATCGACACAAAAACGTCACATCTATACAAGATAGAAACCTAAAGTTTTACACGGTTGTTAACCTACATATGTAGATGTGCATATTCAAACTTGGTTTAGATTAGGATGAAAGTTTTCGGAGAAAAAAAACTTTTGATGCAATATTACAAATTTTTGAGAATCAAAGATCAAAAGTGCCGAAGGGGCCCTTCCTTACTCTGTTGCTATTCTATTTTTGTTGAAACCTCAATTCCGAAAACATTTACTGAGTTATTTACAGGATACTTGTTAAAAGTTTTGAATTTTATTTTTATTTCTTATTTTCTCTCAGGAAACAAGTCCAATGACATAGAGAGCCGGCTGAAAGATATGGAGAATAAGATGACCTCTTTTTCTAATAAATCCGCCGAAAGCCAGGTAGGAGAGAGTTTAGCACATGTAAGGATACTGGCGTCTAGGCCCAACTTAACACCGTCACATGTTCTATTGGCTGCCATAGAATCTCTTGTTACTCTTGCTACAAAATATGGACATAAGGAAGCATAATGTTTCTCTAAGGCTTATACTTACTGCAAAAAGTTCGAGGATTCTAAGGATATCTGTAATTTAGCAATGAAATTATTTGGATCGGCAGAGGACAAAAAATTAGCTAATATGGTAGCCGAGTGGATGAAGGGTAAAAAGTATGAGGCTTCTCCGAAGAAGTCTGTAAGAACTGAACAACCTGATAAAGAAAATGATATTAAAATGCCACATAATTTTGGTGCAATTAATAATCCTGCCTCTTTTGGTTACCCCTTTGTTCATGATCCAATGCCTATGCCACCTTTTTATGGCTCTCAGGGTTATTCTAATTTTCAGGGGAATTTTGGGAACGGAAGATTTAATAGAAGGGGAAGGGGAGGGTACTCCAGAAGAGGAAACTGTCTTTTTTGTAAAGAAAGTGGGCATTATGTTGCGGAATGCCCGAAGATTAAGAAGGATTCTTAAAATAGTATTGATTTGTTCAAAAGTGTGAATTTCTTATTTTGGGATATTTATTCAGGTATTTGTGTTTTGTGATTTTGTACATTTTGCTTACATTTTCATATCGTTTAAATATGATTTAATGGATACTAGCCTTTAACCCAAGGGACACTGAAGCCCTAGTGAATTTTATATTCACGTGGGTTGGGGGCTGAGTATCCACCTCTGTAATCTCTTGGTCTAAGAATGGTTTTATAATTATTTCAGGGAGAAGTTTTAAGCCATAGTAGTGATAAAAAGAGGCAAAAAATTATACCAGATATTCCTATTTGGGAGTTGAAATCTAGTTTTAATCGTTCAGGAATACAGAGAAGGATAAGGGAAGACTACATTGATTACAGAGGTGCGATATCTCAGCCCCTAACCCATATTTCTGCAGAGGGTGTAATTAACAATAATGAAGAGTTTGATTTGTGTAATTTGAAGTTTAGAAACCCTACCAATTTTATAGCAGGCAGTTTGCATGATCATTTTGATGAATGGGAACATATTTGTACGGATAAAAAAGTCCTAGATTGGGTCAAAAATGGTGTAAATGTTAATCAATTTCTTAAGCATTTCAAGGGAAACTTATAGGGAGGCATTATGACCATAATATTCCTCCGGGTATTTTACTACCTAACGCTAAGATTTGTGAAGACTATACCCAGTTTATTGCTGAAACTTTGGAGGAAAGGTTAAGGAATGGTTCTTTGACATTACTAGGGAAAGTGGGTGAATGCAACCCTCCTTATTTAGTGCCTCTGACTATAGAACCTAGTAAACCGAGACTTTGTCATGACGAAAGATATCTCAATTTATGGATTATTGATAGTCCCTTTTCTTTGGAAACCTTAAGAGACCTCCAACGCCTTGTTCGTAAATGTGACTTGATGTCTTCTTTAGATGACAAATCTGGTTATGATCATATTTTTCTGGATGAGAATAGTAGAAAATATTTTGGTTTGCAATTTGGTGGGTATTATTTTGTCTTTAACACTATACCTTTTGGTTTCAAGGCAAGTGCATACTTATATCAGATGACTGGACTGACTGCTACAGGGTTTTGTAGATCCCTCTGCGTACCTTGTTTACAGTATATAGATGATAGATGGATAGGAGAGCTGATGGGGAAACCTGATGAGATACAGTGTGTAAGGCAAGATTCTGAGGCTCTTTTATTTCGTCATACAGTAGGCAAAACTTTAGGGAATGACAAAATCAATGAGTTTGTGATTTCACCAGTCTCCGATAAGTTGATTTGTCCTGTTGAAAATTTAAATCAGTATGTTTCTGGAGCAGAAGAAATGGATATCGATTTATCAGTAGGTTATCTTTTTAGGACTTTAGACCCTTCTCACTCTCGTGTTATAGAATCTCCAGTTTCTTCTTCGGGAATGGGCATCCGTTTGCAATTGTACCTTAAAGATTTGAATATTTTTGAAGGTGAAACTATACATGGCATTAGAGGAGGTTGTGCTATAACTATGATGTCTTCGGGTATAGCTTCTAGTAAGGAGATTATGGAACATGTTGGTTGGTTTAGCAAACGTTCCTTAGATAGATATTCAAGAATGAATAGATTAGTTGATGCAGGGTCAGTGAGTTCTTTATTTTCGAAAGTTGCAGACTCTAATCTTTCTGATGCTGGAAACATTTTTCACAAGTTAGGGGACTCCTCTGATTTACCCCAAGCTTTTAAAAAGTAGGCTAGTATGACAATATTGTAATACAATGTGTAAAAGTTAACTATGAACGTAAATTGTTTGCCTTCATTTATATATGTATTTCTTTTATTAATTTGTAGAATGGGAAACTTAAATGTGAGGTATTTACGGATAGCCTACACCATTTGTTTAAATCACTTTTGATACTATATATTTAAACACACACTCATGTAGAGACTGTTTCAGCATAATTAAACTTTCAGGTTTATACTTAACTTTTACACATGGTAATATTAGCTTTGTAATTTTGTGTACTGTTTATATAATATAATGAAAGGAAAATTGTATTTGCTAATAAATGTGTTATTTTGAAAGTTTTATTTTATTTATTTGATAATATCATATAATAAAACTAAGAATATGGGGATATGTCATGGATGTTAAGGGTTATTTGGGAAAAGTTTTGAGGGTTGGGAAAAGTTTTGAGGGTTGGGAATATTTTCTGTAGTTTTGGGTAAGTAATGGGAGGTTTCGTTGGTTAAAGGGTTCAATTTTAGGAATTGGTGTTTAGGTTGAAGAATTTTAGATTATTTGGGGTTACTCTTTCATCCCAATACTTAATAAATCCCGAGTGTATTTGAGCGAGTCTGACTTTGGATGGGGTAGTATCCTAAGTGAGATCTCGCGAGAATCACGAGGTGATTCAATCAGTCTTAGCTGAACAGCCGTGGAGGCCTTTTCCTGCTTGTGACTGGTGGCGTTATTCTAGGCTTGCTTTCTTTTAGCTCATATTAGAAGATGTGAAAACTCAAGTTATTTTGGAGAAAATTGTGTAAACACAAGAGGGAATGGTTTTTGGAAAAAAAAACAAAAAAACAACAACAAGAAACAACAAAACAACAAAACAACATATTAAAAATAAAACAAACAAAAAAAAAACCCCAAAAATTACAATGAACAAACAATCCCCCAGGAATGGAAGTAAAACTAAGCTAAACGAACAATAACAAAATAAGAAAACTTCACAAGAAAATGATTAATAGCTAACTCAACTAGAAAACCAAGATATGAATATTTAAAAAAAGAACGAGGGTAAATTAAAACCCTGAGGAGACTTTGGCAGTTGCTCGTTAGTCGAAACATATATCAAATGTAGAATATATAAAAGGTCCTGTTGATCAGACGATATCAGAATGCATCAAATTAGTTTATTTTATCACAACGTCAAATATTTTAAAGGATGAAACCAGGCAAACTGATGATACTTACCAGGTTTGTTTGATGCTGTTGACTAATGTTAGTGACACTCGAGCATAAAAAAGGGATTGCAAATATGCTGTTGTACTGTTATGTGGCCTGACCACATATGTGAGCAGGACATATAGTGTTATCCTTGTCCATAAGTATTTGGTTATATAAGGACCATATCTTGGTAACTACATGTAGTACAGCACTGATGCAGATATCTTTTGGGTAGAAGGTTACTACAAATTAGGTCACCATGACCTATGTTTTACGTTTTAAGGATGTTGGTTATGGTAGGACTATCTTGTCTAATAGACAGTTTCTAGTACCTACATTTATAAATGGTATTTGATATTGAGACTTGTTAGTTCCAGAAATAGACAAATATTTATATGATGGGATGGCGTTGTACAACAGATGACAAGATTTGTGACCGAAATCAGGTCCTAGTGTAAGGCCTAAAATAAAATAAATAATGCAGTATGTAGTCACAACTATTGATTAAGCGGCACTCGCTCTTTTAGACTCTGGGGTTATTCTTTCATCCCAATACTTAATAAATCCCGAGTGTATTTGAGCGAGTCTGACTTTGGATGGGGTAGTATCAATACCCCAAATTGACAATTCGCTCTCACCCCATATGGAATTTACTGACCCCGTATATATCGTATTAGGTCACTAACAAACTATGTAACTAATAATACACAGGTACGAGTTTATTAAGTCATCAAACGATAAAACTTCGTACTATATCAACCAATTTGATGATTCTCAAACAAACAAACTGCCACATAAAAAACTTGAATTTTAATTTATGTATAATTGATTACCATGTGTTCTTTAATTATCTTTATTAATGAATTTATTGTCTATGCAGCCGGCACCGTTAATTCGTCAATTGTTCAGGTTTTCAGGTTCATGTTTTTCGTATCAACTTTGAAACGTACGGTCTTGAGATCTTTTACATGCAGTTTATTCTGTAATTGCACTAACTATTCTAAGTTTGTTGTACTTCAGTAAAATATAATATATCTGTCACGTGCACTGTATACGTACTGGTGATGTTAAATCTTAACATATTCTAAACGTATGAAACTAATTAATTGCCAGTGACAATGTAAAACTAGGAAGATGCTCGCAAGAGTCTGTGTCGCTCACCTGTATCAACTGTTGTTTTGAAAATCATGTAAAATAAGGTTAAAATTAAAATAAATAGTATCAGGAACCAAATTATGATTGAGGCCAAGTTTGGTTTAAGTTGCCCCAGTCGTTGAATTAAAATCAGGTCATCCCATTGTAGTTTTACAATAGTTACTGAAGACCCCTTATCATTATGTAAATAAGTTTTCAAGTTCTGACCATTTGAAATCGTTTTTTACAATTTTCCCTTAGACCTCTATAGTAAACCCCTATGTTCAATTTTAAGCCATGTCAGTCATGTTGGTTGGCTGGCTGGGTCATCGGACACTTTTTTAAACTAGTTACCTTAATGATAATTGTGGTCAAGTTTATTTATATTTGGCCCAGTAGTTTCAGAGGAGAAGATTTTTGTAAAAGTTAACCGACGACGATGACGACAGACGACGAACGCCAAGTGATAAGAAAAGTAAACATCAAAGTCCAAAGAGTGTAATGTAGAATTTTTGCAAAATGGAATTCTTGACAATATGCACATGTTGACTTTGTAATGCAACACTTTTCAAAGTGTCATTTTAAGAGTTTCCATATTTGTTCAAGCCGTAATAGCAAAAAATGATTTTCAACAACTTGACAAACATGAACTAGAT